AATTCAAGCGAGCATTTGATGCTTGTTATTATTATCATTATTATCATTATTATTATCATTATTATCATCATTATCATATCATTTCTGATCATCTCTTCTACCTTCATCTCTCTTCAATACTCACTGAAATCAATCATGTCATACTTCTTCAAATATTCTGCAGTTCTGCAGATCATCAAGACATGTGAGTACTGTCACAGATTGAAGAGAGAGAAGAAGAAGATGTTTAAGTAAGAGAAGACAGATTGTAAGACATATTATAATGCCTTGAAGAGGCTCTGTAAGAGAGTAGAATGATAACAATTTTAAGTAACACTTCTGATAGATTTAGACTGAACTAAGTATAGAAATAATGCAGATAGTACTGTCTGTGAGAGATTGAAGAAGAAGATAGTAAAGAGTCTCATACAGTAGCAGTGAGACTAGAAGAAGTTCTGAGAATGATTTAAGATCAAGATGAAGAAAGAGAGAGAGAAGAAGAGTGTTACTGTAAATAAGCAGCAGCAGAAGAAGATTGAGAGAGTGTTAAAGCAGAAGATAAAGAAGTTAAAACTGATAAGTTTTTTATTTATTAAGAGATAATGATTTTTGATAACACTTCTATTCTCTAATTGATTAGCAGAAGCTGACAGAGAAGAAGAGAATTAAGGCCTTGTTCAGATCTTGAATACACTTTATAATTCAGAATATTGAGAAGACAGCTCTGCTCTCTGAGCATGTCAATCTACTTACTGCTGAGGTGAAACCTGAGACAGCAGATCAGAAAATGCGGGATTTTAAGATACAGATTGACCTGACTGAGAGAGAGCAGCAGAAACCCTTCTCTGAGAAGACAGTGAAGAGAGATTTTGAGATGATTATCATCTCAGATGAGAAGAAGAAGAAGAAGAAGAAGAAGAATAAGTAAATTATAAAGAATGATAAGAAGAATGAGAAAGAGAAGAAAGATAATAAGTAGAAAAAGTTTTTTTCTTTTTATATTAGTTAGTTGTAAGTTCATAATTATTAATAATTGAAATTAATTTTGAGTTTTTAAAAATTATTGTACAAGTTGTAATCACGTCAGGAACAATATATATATATATATATATATTTAACTATCATGATTCACAAATCACTATAATGTATAAGTATCAACATTTTTTCAACATTAATATTTATAATATTAATATATTTTTAATAATATCATCTGATAACACAATTTAGTAACACTCTCTTTCACAATATTAATATATTTCAAGAAATATGACAAAGATTAATCAAGATTATTTATTTACTTTTATACATTAATGATATTCAATCTGAGTTAGTACTAAAATTATAACTAAGCTAAGAAATAAGATTATTTTCTCTTATATTAATTCTTCTTACACACATCAGTAATTAGTTATTGAAAATAAATTATTATCTTTCTTAAATTATTATCATGTCTTCTGAATTCACTTCTTTCACTTCTTTTACTTCTATTGAAGATTCACAAACTCTTCAAGAAATCACTGTGAATCACAAAGTCTATGTTGTTTACAATTCAACACAGAATACTCTCTTTCAATCATGATAAATGATCACTTCATTCTTCATATCTGATTTCAGGTCATGAAATTTATGAAAAACTCAACATAAATATTAAGATGAACTATGAAATAATTATCAACAGATTGCATTGCAGATTACTGAAGAGTTATCTCTCTGCTACAATCACTGCAACTTCATTCAGAAACATTCATTATAAACTGATTATAACTCTGAAGAAATTTCCTGACATCTGAAGTTATCAGAATGTAGATAATAAAAGAAAAATAATCAGAAAATTACTACTGAGCTGATAAGTTACTCTATCAGGTAATAATTTTTAATAATACTAACTTTCTAATTTGAAGAAAATCATGTGAAAACAATCTTATATCAGTACTCTGATTTCATAACTCTCATCTGATAACTTTCATGAATAATTACTTTATATATATATATCTCTGAATCTTTCTCTTCAATCAATTGAAAACTCTGAATTTCGAACACTTCTTCAAATACTTAATTCAAATCTTCATATTTCACATTGATTCTGTCTTCAGTTCAATCTCAAGACACACTACAAAGTTAATATACAACATCTAGAATCAGAGTTGAAGAATTATCAAAGAGTGTCTCTCACAGTGAATGCATGAACTAGTATAAATAATCTTGCATTTATGAGAGTTATATATTATTACATTGATGAGAACTGAACTAATCAAGAGATATTAATTGAATTTAAATTATTGATCAGTAGTCATACTGAGAATTATATAACAGAGATATTAATGACTGTGACTAAAAATGACTATTGAGATATTAGTCTCAGTCTTCTTATAATTATAACTGATAATGCTGTGAATAACTACACTATGATGAAGAGCTTGAAGCAAAAATTGACTTTGCATTTCTGAAATGATAAACAAGGTTATATTCTCTGCATTACTCATGTGGTTTAACTTGTGATGCAAACACTGATAAAGAATCTTATTATTATTATTATTCTTCAATTATAGATGTATACAGTCAGAGACTATGACATCTACCTGAGAACTTTTAGTTCTCAGGGTTTTTCCTATATCTGTAAAGTTAACTATTATACATTCATCAATTTCAGATATGCAAAATCAGAAAATTCCAGTCCAGAATACAAAAACTGTTTACAAATTGCAGTGTTTTAATATCATCTCATACTTTGAAATCATTTGACAATATCATGACAAAGGAAAAGAGAACACAGTCTTAAAGATAGACACATTAAATAGATAGACAGAAAGAAATTGAAAGAAAAAGATAAAATAAAGAAAGACTGTAACAAAACAAATTATTAAAAGATAGTATATAGCTGTTTTAACAGACTATATCTGGTTGATTTCCTCCTCTTCATATTCAGATAATTCTGAATTTAGCCATTTTCTTGTAGCTGCTTGAGTTTCTGATAAAAAGTCTATTAAGTATTTAATTCCTGTCTCAGTTGAGAATAAGAATCTCATATTTAATTGATTTAGATCATACTTCTCTTTCAATCTGGCTCTGAGACTATTGTATAATGCACAGTGCATTACAATATACTCAGAATTCTCATTTGTATTACAGAATGAGCATTCTATTGAGTTAAATCTATCATCAAATCTTTGTATATAAGATTTGAAATAGTCATGTTCTAGTTTCAGCTGTATTATAGATGAGAATATTTTCTTTTTACATTTAATTGAACAAGATTTCCACTTGGGCTTTGTTTCAAATCTTGAATAATGTATACTCTTCTTTTGTTTCTGCCAGCTTTCATTTCACTTGTCTAAACAAGATTCTTTTATTTTTCTCTTTATAAAAGACCAGGACACAATTTTTTGAATAGATCTGCTTAATTCTGCACTCTTTTTTGCAGCTGAATCAGCCAATTCATTGCCATGAATATTCATATGAGCAGGAACTCAGTGCAGATAAATAATCAGCTTTAATATTCTTCTCTTTTGAATTTTTGAAACAGAGTTTAAGATCAGTTCAAGATTCATTTGATCATTATAAATCTGACTATTTCTAAGTCTTTTTAAAGCAGCTTGACTATCAGAGAATATTCATGCCTCTTTCAAATAATTTCCTCTTTTATGAGATTTTATTTCAATGAGTTTGAAAGCTTTCACTATTGCAAATAGTTCAGCATCAAAGACTTCACATTCAGAGTCTAGATTTCAGAAATCTGAGATAAAATTGATATTATCTTCAGTATAAGCAATGCCTGTGTCTAATCTATTCAAGTTCTCATTTTTTGAGTCATCTGAATAAATCAGAATAGAGTCTTTTATATTGATTGTAGAAATTCTCTTTGAATGCTGTTCATATTCTTTCTCTTTTGATAGTTCACTTATTTGTAAGTCTATAAGAGATTCAAGCTTTTCTCTTCAGAGAGATAACTTCTCATGATCAACTTTTTCAACATTTAAAGAAGAAAATTGATTTTTAATCAGAGAGCATAGTCTGTACAGTTGAGAAGGCATTTTCTTTGAAGAATTATTTTCATTTCAATCAAGAAATCTATTCCAATCCAGTTCATTTCCAGAGTTAATTGATGAAAATGAAGAAGAGACTCTTTCTCTAATTATATAATTTGAGCTCATCTTTACAACTCTCAAAGCATAGTTCATACAGGCCTTTTCAAATCTAATAGCAGGAGGAGGAATTGAAGCTTCAATTTTCATTGCTTTAATAGAAGATGATTTGAATGCTCTCAGAATTCTTCTCAAGGCTCTGTTTTGCAGACTTTGAAAGAGTTCAGTGAAATTCTCTTGATTATTTCATTAAATTTGAACTTCATAATCAGCTACTGATGTAATACAGGCTATATATAACTGTCTCATAGCCTGGAAGAATAGACCTCTCTCTGTATTTGATAGTCTGATTATGTTGTTCAATAGTCTTTCTGCCTTGACAGTTCTTTGTTGAATGTGATATTTAAAATTCAACTTGGAGTTTAATCATACTTCTAATCATTTGACATTTACACTGAGTTTAATCTCTCTACTCAAAAGAGTTAGAGATAGTTCTTTCTCATTGAATCTAGGAAAGAAATGAATTAACTCAGTTTTATTCATATTAAATTGAATTTGATTGATATCTACTCTAACAAAGATTTCCTTTACAGCTTCTTCAATTACTTTTAAATTCTCTTTGATAGTTTTTGAGCTGTAGACTAGATCAATATCATTCATATAACTCAGAGATTACACTATTCTCATATTTCTATTTTTAGATAGATATGCAGTGTATATTGCAAATAAAATGAGTGAGATTGAAGATCTCTGTGATACTTCTATTTTTATCTCAGTCTTGTCTTGTTTCATTCCATCAAAGAAGAGTTGTATACTTCTTTTAAACATAAAACAGTTAACTCATTTTATTAGAGAAATTGGCAGTTTTAATATCTTCAATGTCTGAATTAACTTTGACTTTGAAACATGATCAAATGCTTCTTTTATATCAATAAAAACTGCAGTTGAGACCAGACTCTCATGCTTTGCTATTTGAATATCATGAACAACTGAGAGAACAGTGTCAATTGCAGAACACTGTTTTCTATCTCTCATTTGTTCACTGAATAAAAGAGAATCATCTATAGAGCTTATAAAAGATAGTTGAGTAGCTATTATCTTTTCTAAAACCTTTTCTAGGCAGTTCAATAGAGATATTACTCTATATGACTTAGAAATTGAAGTTTTTCTATTAGGTTTTGTAAGAATCACTTCAGTGGCTTCTCTCCAGCATTCAGAATGATATTCATTTTTCAAGAGATTGAAAAAGAGCTCAAAATATTCATTCTTTAAGTAGGAATATGTATTCTTAATAATCAAGTGATTAATTGAATCAGAACCTGCAGCAGTTTTAACAGAACTTGAGAAGATAGCTGACTCTAATTCATCTTGTGTAAGATCAGGCCATTCCCAGTCATTTTCATCAATGTAGTTGAGAAGTGATATATTCTCTTCCTCTGAATCTGAATCTGAATCTGAATCTGAATCTGATGAGTTCTGAAAGAGAATTCTCATGAAAGCTTGACATTTTTCCTCAAAAGAGTTTACTGTATATGATTCATTCTGAAACTCATATTTCAAGGCTGGAAGTTTTGCTACACTTCTTGTTTTAGTATAGTTAAAAGCTTTAAAAACTTTCTTTTCTTGTGCTTCTTCAAGAAATTTATTCCAGCAGTCTGTTTTAGCTCTTTTAATATCTGAAAAATATTCATTTCTGACAGCTTTGAACTCTTCATCAGATATTACATCATTCTTTCAATCTCTTCTAGCAGTAGCTAATTCTTTCTTTTTAGATGAGATATTCTCATTTCATCAAAGTTTTGAATACTCAGAAGATTTTCTCTTTGAAATATTATCTCTAACACTTGTTAGAATAATAGATATAATAAGCTTCACTCTATTCTCAAGCATTTCATTTGAGATATCTTGATCAGAATTTCAATATAACTCATTCTGTCTCTCAGATTTTAACAGTTTTATGCTTTCTTCAACTGCTTTTCAATCAGCTTTTTCAAAGTTATACTGATTAGAGAGAAGAGGATTTTCACTCATTTGTTTTTCACTCAGTTCAATATCAAATTGAATAATCTCATGACCTGATTCTGATGTCTCATTTGAATCAATAAACCAGTTTACAAGTCTTCTTTCCATGAGATTTTGTGATATGAAGGTTAGATCTATAATAGACTTCTGTTTCATGTCTTTTCTAAAGAATGTTTGTTGATCAGACTTATTAACCAAACCTATTAAATGCTCAAAGGTTCATTCAATCAGATTATCAGCTCTCACTGCTCTCTTGCATTCTGAATTTCATCAGAGATGATGTGCATTGAAGTCTTCTGCAATTATAGAGTTTCTTGATAAAGTTATGTTCAGAAATCCTCTATCAATTGTCCAGATATTGTTATATTTCTTCAGTGACTTTTCATTATAGATATTTATGAGCTGTATAGTATCAAACTCATTTTCTTTATCTATAATGTCACTCATCAGAATATCAGGGTCAGATAAGATATCAAATCATAGATTAAATTAATATCTTAATCTCTTTCTTTCATAGATCACTACTCTTGACTTTATCTCAGACTTTTGAGGTAAAAAGCAGTAGTAGCTTAAGTGAGAAATGATATATTTTTACTCAGTATCAAAATTCGGCTCCTGAAGCAGTACAAAATCAACTTTTTATTCAAATATAATTTGAAGACAAGAATAAATGCAATTTGAGTTTCTATTCACATTATTTTGAATAAATGTGATTTTTGAAGAGTTTTTAAACTTTTTTTATTGTTTTTGTTATATATTCATACTAAAAGAGAGTAGAGTAGAATCTAATCACTATCATCAGATAGTAGATTATAACTGTTCTGAAAAGTAGAAATCTCAACTGCTTACATTATATCTAGTTTATCATCAGAGTCATTTCTCAATTCTCTAATCTTATGTAACATGGCGGAACCGAAGCAGTGGCTAGTCGGCGGCGACATGTAGAGGTAGTTGTTTGGAAAGCTGTATAAGTGAGCTTGACTATCTTGCTTGAATAGTGAGCTCATAGACTACAGAGTTATTGTGAGAATATCACAGATATGGTACTTAGTATACTAAGAAGATTGTATGAGGCACACAGTAACTCTTGTGTATATTTCAGTCAGAGTAAAACAAATTGCTGACTTCTTTGATAAGAAGCCAGTATCTAGCTATTCTATATAGACAATGAGCAGATACTCTTCTCTCATTTCATAAGTGAGAATAGCTGAAGTGATACCTCAGCAGTGTCTCATTGTCAAGAAAGAGTAATCTGCTGATCTTGTATAGAAGTAAGGTTCTTATATTCATCAATCAGATCTTTCTATGATACATTCATATGATGTTATAGAGTGATTGAAAACTGGTTCAGATGAGATGAAATCATTCATATAAAAGCAATGAACTGTGTGAAACTGCAATGAGGCCTTGATACAGCTGAGAGTGTGATAATACTCTTCTCTTTAAGAGTATAGTCTCTATATTCTTAAGATTACTGAATTAGAAATTATCTTTGTTGTATAGCAACAGTTATTAATCAATTGACAGTATATGTACTGTGTATGATACAAAGAAATAGATGAGTTTTTCTGCTGACTGCATAGATCTTTCTTTTCTCATCTTCATTTAAATTAAACATGTGATAAGTGAGTTTCTTATATATTGATTTAAAATGTGGAAAATGTAGTTAATAAGTGACTTACAGATCTCTCAATATATTTCATTCTATATATGAAATTCCCTGCAAAAGTGATGTATTTTAGAGACAAAGCTAACAGTAGTGACAGGATTTTTCTGAAAAGATTTCCCTCTCTTTATGACACATTTTTCTCTCCCCCCCCATCTGCAATAGTGAGTGCATGAGAGCATCATTCTTGAGAGACAATAAGAGGCTTATTCTGACATTTTCTAGTGAATAATAAACATCTTCATGGTGCAGCTGCGGCCTCTGTGACTGTCAAGAAAGCCAGGTTGAAGACAGTGGCATCAATGAGCCGCGGGAGCATCACTCTCATTGTCACATCTTCTCCTGCTTCTCTTGCAGCCACAGCGGTTCTGCCGGTCAGTGTGTCTGCATTCAGTTCATTCCCTGCTCCCCCCACCGCCATTGCGACGCCACCCCCCCCCCCAGTCAATACAGTGGCATATGACCCTGTGTGATCATTCAGAGAGAAACCTGGGAAGAGCTTGGTTCCAGAAACAGTGACTCTGAGAAGCTCAATTCATAGTTCCCCTCTCACAGCACACCTGAGCCCTGCTCAGAATGCTACTGAGTTGAGTCTGCAGAGTCCCACAGTTCCTTTGTCTTCTCTCTGTGAAGAGGCTCTGATGTGATCTCTGGTCAGTATTGCTACTTGTCTGTGCTGTATCAAGCAGCTGAAGAAGAAGGGGATTTTATACACCTGTCTCTTCTCTCACTTCTGTTATTTCTGTTGTATCTGTAACAATGACTTCTGTCTCTCTGTAAGTATTATCTCACAGAAAGATGTTGTATCAGTTCTGATAAGAAGTCTAGATACTCAAGCAGTACAGAGCAAGAGTCTCAGAGCTTCAAGTATTGATGAATTTCATCAAGGCTGAAGAGATCCCTCTTGCTTATCTGTAAAAGAAGGCAAAAGCATGAATCTTTAAGATGAAAAAACATCTCAGAATAACTGATCTTAAGAAGGAATCAGTCAGCACTGCTGTTAAAAGTGTTACAGAGATCAATCACTGATTGAAGAGAATCTCACTTCAACTGAAGCAGATGACTGAGATGTTTTGTAAGTTGATAAGTTAATATTTTATACATTTCTTATACTCTTCTGCAGTGCTGCAGCACTAACTTCTCAGCAGATAAAGATATCAGTGCTAAAGACTTTAACAGTGAAGAATAAGTTTGATGAGAGTGTGATTGTTAATAAGTAGATTCTGAGATTCTCTCTTTTTACTTTTTCAGTGAGCTGTGATCTCATTAGATTAGCAGCAGTCTGTGAGTTAATTAATATTAATCTTTTTATTAATTTCAAATATTTCTTTCTTTTCCTTATTAACTGCTTCAGGAATTTTACACTTGTGTAGTCTTATTAAACTTCTAAAAAATCCTTTAAGAGAAAATAGAAGAAGAGTGCTATAGAGTCTACAAGATACTGACTCATCACTGTAAGATTATCTCTAAAAAACCCTTTGAAAAAAATGAGAAGTCTTAAGTGATATTTCTTACTCAATATCTCTGATATGTAATGAGATAGTCTTTACTAGCTATCTCATAGATTGCAATCTCTTTCTCAGCATTTTTCAAATGCTTAAGCAGTTTCTATAAATTCTCTGACAATGAATAATCTTCTTATTTAATAAGATATTGAAGCTTGCTGTAATATGTTCACTTATTCAATATTTTCTTCATAAGATATTCAGTATCACTCTCAATCTCAATATTATCTGACTGAGATGACTCTGTTCCAGAACATTGCTTATAGAGCTTCAAATAGAAAATGTGAAAAACAGAATAAATTGATTTCAATTCTGTGAGTAATTTCAACTCATATGTCTGCTTACTCATCACTCTTGTTACTGAGAAAGGTTCTAGTCATCACTCACTGAGCTTCTTACACAGTCTTGTTATCTTGATATTCTTTGCTGAAAGTAGCACTTAATCCTCTATTGAGAACTTCATTAAAAGATGTTTTCAATTATAGTATTTCATCTATTACTTCTGAATGCAGTGAATACTTTTCACTGTCTTCTTATAAATTTTATTCAAAAGTTTCAATCTCACTTTTACTTCTGATACTGAGAGATACTTCATTCTCTGTATCTGTCTGATATTCTAACTATTTATCTCTCTCTTTGAAACATTATCTGCAACATCACTGAATAATAAAGAATTATATTTATAACAAGTATAGAAAGAAGATATCTTTAAGATTGTATTCTTTGCATTATTATATATGAATTCAGTGATTAGAAGATGTTTAAGTCAATCATTCTGATAATATAAATAGAATACTTGAAGATGCTATTCTAGTGTCTGATTCTGATGTTCAGTCTGGCCATTAATCTGTGAATGAAATGCAGTACTGAGAAGACATCTTATTATAAGATGATAGTAAAAAGCTGATCAGTATTTGCTGATAAAGAGGAATTCTTAATCTGTTATCAATAATTTCAGAGCACTGTGATTATAAATGATAGTATCTAAAAACAGGTCAGTTAATTCAGAGGCTTTAATCTTTTTATAGATAGAGATATATCTGATCATCTTTATAAAGTGATCAACAATGATCAAAATCAAGTCATATTCTTTGACTCTTGTTGACTTTGACAGGTTAACTATGAAATTCATTGATAGATTCTGTCATAAGCTCTTTGAAATAGACAGTGATATCAACTCACTGTATTACTTATACTGCAGAATCTTTATTCTTTGATAGATATTGTAAGTCTTAATATACTCTTTAACATCTGTTCAGAGCTTATCTCAAGTGTATTTATATTTTAGAAGCTTCTCAGTCTTCTCTAATCTGAAGTGCTCTGTATGAAAATTATTATGATGAATTCTCAATAACTTCTGACACACTGCTCTGCTACAAGAGATGAAGACTGAATCATTCAGCAGTAGAAGTTCATATTCTTCTAGTTATCAGTGACTTGATTTCTTAGCAGTATCATCTCACTCAGAGTCTGTCTCTTTCAAGTTCAAACTGAATTCTTTCTTCTTCAACTTCTGAATTTGAGCTGCAGTAGAGATATCTCTCTTCTATAACTCATCAATGAATTCTAAAAGTAGTCAGATTGAAAGATTGTAGACTGTTTCATTCTTTGCTAATTCAATGATTGCAAGATGTGATATGAGAAGCTTATAATCTTCAGTATTAGTCTCTCACAGAGACCTGAGTTCTCTTTCATCTTCTATACTGAGTTGCACAGCTGCCTCTTCAGCGCTGTTCTCAAGCTTTAGAGAATCTCAATCCTCTGCAGTCAGCTTCTTCTGCAGTGATAGCAGAGATTCTTTTGTAGAATTCTTTTCCACATTAATGATATTATAATCAGGTCATTTAGACAGTGTATCAGCAGGATTAAGCTGATCTGAACAGTATCAGATATAGAAATCATACTTTAAAAGCAGCTCTGTTCACCTGGCTTAACATTCTGTCAAGCTCTTTGTTGTTAAGAAGTAACACAGATTTGCATGATCAGTGAGAACTTGCACTGAGTACTTACTACTCTGAAGATAATATTATCAGATCTTAACAAATTCAATAATTACTAACATCTTCTGATCATAAGTATCATACCTTCTCTGTGTGAGTAATAACTTCTTGAAGAAGAAGGTCACTGATCTTCATTCACAGTGTCTTGTAGACTCTGTGAAAAAGTCTTCTCTCACAGACAATTCATTGTCTGTTTTCTCAGAAATGATTATTCTCTGATTCTTTCAACATTGAAAGACCTTCAGTGTCAACTGTGAAAAGATTTCATAGATTTCATTCTCAGATGCATCAGTCTCACACTGACTGAATAAGTCAGAATTAAAGTGATTCAGCATTGTGACATCTGTGAAAGCTTGTTTCAATTCTGCAAATACCTGCATGATACCTTGAATGAGAATAAATGATTCTGTTTTCCTGTCTTTCATACTTCTCTTCAACAAATCTGTAAGAAAGGCAGTAATCTGTGAATATGTATAGATGAATTGTCTGTAGAAATTCACAAATTCTAGAAACACCTGCATCTCACAGTACATCTGCGGTGCTGGCCAGTTCTCAATGATGAAGACTCAGCTTCTGTTCATTGAAATGTCATTTATCTTAATAATATAACCTAAGAAATCAATCTCCTGCATGTAGAATAAGCATTTTTCAGTGTTTGTATAGAGTTGATACTGTCTCAAGCAACTCAACACTTCTTGAACATGAGTATCATGTTCTTTCTCTGATTTTGAGAAGATTAAAATGTTGTTCAGATATACTATGCAGAAGACATTGACAAGGCCCTGCAGCACCTCATTTATATAGATCTGAAAGATGGCTGAAGTGTTACAAAGATCAAAAGATAAAACAAGATATTTAAAATTGCTGTACTTGGTATAAAAAGCTGTTTTTCAAATATCATCTTTATTAACTCTGATTCTATGATAGACATTCTGTATATCAATCTTTGAGAACACCTTTGCTTCAGATAATCAATCAATCATCTCATTAATCAACAGTAATGAATAGTGATTCTTAACTGTCATCTTGTTGAGGCCTCTGTAGTCTACACATAGACATAGTCTATCATTCTTCTTGAATACAAAGAGTATAGATGTCTCTGCTGAACTCTTTGATAAATATATTCAGTTCTTTGATTATGCTTCTTCAAGATATTTGCACAGAACATTCAACTTCTTTACAGATAAGTTGTAAAGAGGCCTGTATGACACTGTTGCACTGTCTTCAAAATGAATCTTGTGTTATATCTTGATATCAGGAAACTTCACTGCTTCTCTTTCTGAAAAGACATTCTTAAAATCTGTAAAGAGACATCATGTATATTCATCTTCAATAACAGATACTGCTGCTAATCTTGCAGTAAGAGTAATAACTTCTTCATCTATTCTCAAGTCTCAATCATCTGCTATGCAGTATATTAACTCAATTCTTTTCTCAAGATTCTTCTGATGAAACTCTTCAGATTCCTCTATCACTGTCTCTTCATCAGTGAGGTGATACTGTCACACCTGAGTGACTCAGTCAATGAGAGGATTGTTTTCTCTCAATCATGAGAGATCTAGAATAACATTCTCATCTATGATATTGACTGTGTGAAGAAGCAGACTGCTCTTCTTAAAGGTTTCTTCAGAGTCTGTGATCACACACTTCACTTGAATTATGTTAAAACAGTGACATTTCATTTCATCAGTAAATTTCACATGATCTGACAGATCTATCTTCTTTCAACTCTTCATTAAAGAAAAGAAATAGAATATGAAGTTAGTATTCATCTCAGAGTTGAGTAGATATCTCACTGATATCTCTTCATTCAGAGTATGTATTATGATTGTAACATGAACTCAAAGATGTGAGGATTGTTAATTCTTATCTTTATCTTCTTTATCTTCTGTGAATACATTTATCAGAAGAGAAGT